ACACACACACACACACACACACGAGAGAGAGAGAGAGAGAGAGAGAGAGAGAGAGAGAAAAGAAAGGAAGAATAATGAGATATCAAGATCTTGCTTATTTTTTAGAGATAGGTCAAATATCCTCCAAGGTTTCCTCTGACTGGTCTGACTAAAGTGTGGGGTATTGAAAATTGTGGAAACTTTGAAGCTAGGTACAAATCCTAGCTCTTCTTTTTCTCATTGGGCTCAGAACCTCGGTTTTTCATCTGTACAAACTGCGATAAAAATACCTGTCTTGCCTGTTTTGATTGTTAAATAAGAGTCCATTGTAAGGCCCCTCAACAGATTGCTAATTTTCCTTTTTTCTCTCCCTTCTTTCCTCCCTTCCTCACTTTTCCAATTCTCTGAGCATTTTAATACATAAATTATGGGGGCTAGGGAGATAGGTCAGTGGTTAAGAGCACTTGCTGCTCTTGCAGAGGGCCTGGGTTTGGTTTCTGTCATGCATGTTTCACTACTCACAACTGCCTGTAACTCTAGTTCCAGGGGATCTGACAGTCTCTTCTAGACTCCTGGGACTCTTGCACTCACATGTGTATACACACACACTCACACACACACACACATAATTTAAAATAAAAAGTAAAAATCTTTTAAAAAGCCCAATAAGATTCTCCTTGAAGTTTCTTTTTCTTGGTTGAGTATAAGCTTCTTCCAGGGAAATATTATATCTGCTCCCTCACAGCATGTACAACAGCGGGCCTTCCTTAGTAATAATTGAGCAAAGTACTGCCAAGAGGAAGAATATATTTGGGAAATGAACAAGTAAAGGAGATGGAAATAGAGAGGACCTTTGAGCCAACATGGGGTGCCTGGCATGCCATTGAGAAGCCTGCCCATTATGGAATCCAACATTGTTGAATGGCAATGGGTCTTTCAACCCCAGCTTATTGACTTACAGAGTCATCCATTCCCAGGAGAACCAGCAGTGGGATGGTGGTCATTCCCCCATGGACCCACTCCTGTAGGGACACAAAGCCGTCCTGATCGTAGTCCATCCCTTGCAACATCTCCTTCAATATCTGTGGAATCCAAAGAACAATGGTCCATTTTCATTCTTGGCAGTTGAGGATGTCTCTCCCTGTGTTTCCTCTTTGATTCTGTACTGTGTGTTCTGTTTCACCCAGTTCCTCTCTTATTCTGGGTGAGTACAGCGTCAAAGCATGAGACCAGCAGTGAGGAGACCAGGGTTCTAGGTCCATCTCTATCGTGCCCTGTGTGGCCTTCAATGTACACCACAGCCTCTGTGCTCTGAGTTCCTCATCTTAAAAATGGAAATAATGCTGCTGTGGTTTCAGCCCTGTAGCAAGGATGGGAGACAATGCGTAAGAAGTGTTTGATGGAATACCGGATACACAGTGCTTTCTACAAATGCAGTGCTTACTAACAGGTAATGATTGAGAAATTGTAGTTGTTCCTGGATCTACATTCTTTAATCTATGAAGTTCTGTCATGAAACTTGGAAGGAACTGTGATTTCTATCATGGCTAGACCTTTTGCGGCTGCTTTGCACATCTTTCCTTTAGGAGAAGTGGGAGGTCAGAGCACAGGAATCCAAAGAAGTTGTTGGCAAGATGAGTCTGGGCCCCCTAGACAGTAAGCATTTAAGCATTTGCACCCACATCCCAGTGTGTCCTACCCTCTCTTGGCAGCTCACCCTGTAGGCAAACTGTGTTTAGAGAAGAAACTCACAGGCCTTAGCTCTGTGGGATCCCACTCCAGGTACTGGGCAATATGCAGCATTTGGTTCATAATACGATCCATCTCCTAGAAAGTATCAGGAGAGAAAATGTTAAGGGGACAAAACCAACAGGGTATTATCAAAACCAAAACTCAAAATTAAACCCAGTGGGTAGGTGGACAGAGCAGAGCTCCAGGAAAAACTGGTGCAATACACTGGATTTTCACAGGGAGTGCAGTTTGCTTCTGCCTTGACGGTAAGGCCAGTGGGCAGCAAATACTCACCTGAAGCACAGAGCATGCATAAGCCAGAGGAACATAGAGTTCACTGAACACTGACGTCCTAGCCCTACGTTCCTTCCACTGTTCTGTACTTTAACTTGAAAACCACAGGAAGTTTCCCCTTTGTGGTTAGAACTTCCACAAACACACTTGAAGGTAGGCCTTACCTTGCCTTTCTCTCTCTTTTTTGGTGTTTTTGAGATGGTCTCCCTGTAGCCCCAGCTGGTCTGGAACTCGCTATGTAGACCAGGCCTTGAATTCACAGAGATCCCCCTGCTCTGTCTCCCAAATGCTGGGACGAAAGGCATGCGCCACCACGCCTGGCTTCACTTCACCTTTCTTACCCCCCCTCATCCTCACACCTTTAGCAGTTTGCTTTCTATCTATCTGCTTCTGAAGTTGGGTTCACTTGGACAGAAGGTCCTGGCTTCACTGAGATTTAGATTCATTTAGGCATCTTCCCTCTCCTTTGCACTCCAGTCTACCCTGAGCCTAGAACTTCCATGAGCAGAAAGTTCATAATTATGGGGCTTATTTGCCAGATGGGTATCAAGGCCAGGTTTACCTAAAACCTTACAGATACGTTGAATGCCAGTGAGTCAGTGCATAGAGGGACCCACTGAGACATATCGGGTTGGGGAGGTGTTTTGGTGTCAAAATCAGCACCTTGCGTGTGGATAACGACTAAGATGTTCACAATAAAATTGCTATAGGAGAACGTGTCAGTGAACTGAAGCAGGGTTGCAAATATTACCTCCGTTATGAGAATGCAGGGTCAAGACAAGCAAGCTAAGCCCCAACGGATATTTATTACCTCCCCCAACTCTGTATGTGCCTCCTCTCCTTCCATCCCTCGCTCCCCTTCCTCTTTCCCTTCTCTTTTTCATCCTCCTTTCCTGCCTGACTTCTTCAGCTCATGCTCGCTTTGAACTTGCGATGCTCCAGCTTCAGCCTACTACGTGCAAAAATGTATTTTACTCAAATGGAAACAGTAATCCACAGCAAAACTACAGGATGGGGCAGTAATGCGAAGAAGTGGGCAGGAAGTTCCAATGGAAAAGTATACGAGTCTATTTAGGTCCAAGATTAAATGAGACAATGTGATTTAGAACCTCAGAATTAGACTCATGGGCTGTGTAAATAGAAACAAAATGGACTGGTTTCATGAAGAACTGGCTCCCCAGTGTCTACCCTGGCCAGGCCCCATCTGGACACTTAAAACAATGGATGGGTGGGCTCTACTGTATACAGTATTTTAACAATGGCATTGATAAACCAGAGATTGTCTAGTGTCGATATTTAAGACTGCTTCACGAGAAACAATGTAGAATGGGGACGTTTTAGCTCCGAGATTTTATGGAGCTATGATAGTACTTTAAAATATTAGAAGGGCCACCGTGTGGCATCTCTACTCCCCTTGTCCTGCTCAGATGCAGAGAGCAGCAGGAAGCTGCTTGCAAGAAAGGGGTGCAAGAAAGGGAGGCGCAAGGGAAGCTTATTTTGGTCCCCTCCTGGGGTGGGAAAGGAGGGCACAGCAGCAGGTTTGGTGTTGCCTGGCAAACAGAGATGCCTGGCACGCAGGAAGGAAGACCTGTCCAGCTTTTCCCCTAGCAAAGGAACAGCTGTTGTGGAGGAGTAAGCTCTCTGTCCCTGGGAGCATTCACAGAGACTCTGGAGTCCATCACCCATTGGTTCCAGGTAGGAGGCAGAGTCACATAACTCTTTTGAGACTTGTTTCACTCCCCAACATTATCTTTAACAATACATCCTGGATTTAGCTACGTTTTACCACCTTTACTCCTGTCCTATGCAAAGTCACCATCACTCTGTGCCCTATTTCCATAGACCCCTGACTGGTATCCCTGTAAAGCCTAGTTAATGTAGTCACTAGAGCCATTCTCGAGACATAAGCCAGTATGTCACCTCTGTTTACAGCCTTCAATGTTGCTTCATTTCTCCAGAGTTCAGGGGAAATCCTTTCAAGCACTTATAAAGCTTCACGTGCTTGGCACCCCCATTTCTACTCACCCGTAACCTCCGTAGTCTCATCTCCTGTTCTCCTTTACTCTGATCTCTTTTGTCTCCTGTTAATCCTCTAGAATTCCAGGTACCCTTCAGGACATTTGCACTCCTTGCTTCTTCTACCTACAGTGCTCTTCCTTTAGCTATCACCTTTACTTAACCTTTACATCCTCTAGGTCTCTGTCCAGATGTCCCTTCCCTAGGGAAGCCTTCTTTTGACTCCTCCTGAGAGCAGCAACTCCCTCCAATGTGTTCTTTCCTCCTGTGTTGTTCTTCAGAGCAAACATCTACCCAGCATGGGTATATGTGTTTATATTTTACACAATATCATTTTTGTTTTGTGCCGTGCCGGGCATTGAATCTAGGTCTTTGTATGTGGTAGGTAAGTGCTGTGAGTGATAGGATTACAGGTGTGTACCACCACGCCCAGCTCCACTGATATTTTGCTATGCTGTTTAGTGTCGATGCTTGGGCTATGGTGAAAAGTGCATGGGGGAATGGAACTTTGTCACTTGGCTACAATACCATATCCCCAGTGCTCAGAGTAGCACCTGACATGGGTCAAACTCTCAGTAAATGAATGCTTGGGGCCCACGATTCAGTGCTTATTCTGACAAAGAACTCAACCCACAGCATTACAGCAGGGTTGGGAATTTCCATAAAGACCCCAAGTTAGAGGGAGCTGACACAGTTCATTGGTCTAATGAACTTATTCCCTTCCTTTCTTCCGTCTGCTGGTCTCAGTCAGCCCTATGAATTTCAACCTCAGAGTCTTCCTATTCATGAGCTCCCAGTCATGACCACAAGGCCTGGCTTCGGGGCCTCCTTCTCTCTTGAACTTTTTCTCTTTTCTATTCTTCCTCTCACTCTCTGGTCTTGACTAGTCCTGCCTCTTCCTGAAAGGGTGCGGTGAATCTCAGAGTTTCCCATGGGCAGCAGTAAGAGCAGACAGGGGCAGACTTCTGGGCTTGGAAGCTGGAGTAGAGAGAGAGAGTCCACCAGCAGTAACCTCGTGTCCTCTTCCCTGGCCTTGCTGACACACTGGCTCCCTCCTCTAGGCCCCTGGGTTCCAGGAGGAAATTTCAAGGGAAGACTGTGGATGGGGATGAAAATTCTAAACTGTCTCTCTGTTCTGAGATTTGTTTTTCTGGGTCCCAGGCTTCTGGGATCCAGAGGCAAACTGGAGTTCATACTCCACAGGCTGATGCTCCAGAAGCAGCAGGCAGGGGAGTCTGCTCATGTTCTTATCCCTTATTTGGATGCTGCAATTCCAATAAAGATGGAACTGGAGTTTTCAGATTCCTCCTTCAGCTGTGTCCTGCTCCCTCACTCTTTCTCAGATCCCAGAGGGGTATGGAGAGGGAGAGCTTACCGCCTGGTCCAGGAGTCCATTCTCATCCGAATCATAGAGACGAAACATGACTGCAAAAAACACACAGGTCAGGCCTGAAGTGTCCTCCAGGAACCAGGCACTGGCTGAGGTTTTGCTACTCCCACATTTTTAGCCTAGATCTGGCCATCATCTGGCATAAGCTGTCGTAGCCAGCTTACCCTCCCTCTGAGGGACAGCATGTGACTTCCTTAGGGAGGAGATAGAACAAGGAAGGAAAATGAAGCCATCTGGCTTTTGGACCCATATAAGCAGCAATTCTGGAGAGCATGTACATTCAACTAAGACCAAGGCCCAGGGGATGGTGGGGCAGAGGCACCAGAATTATAGTGGGGCCTTTGCCTAAGCTGCACAAAGAGAGTACAGAGTAAGACATGTTCAAATCTTGGTGTGCCCTACCACTTTGGGATGTCAAGCAAGTTATTTCACTTCTGGGCTCAGTCGCCTAACATGTAAGATGCATACTGTAATGGTTTCTTTCTGTTAGGGTTATCATGACGATTAATAGGTAACTGCTACACCAGTCGACAGGGCTTGCAATGCAGAAAGCATTTAACAGATGTTATAATTTATGTTCATTTATTAATGAACATTTATAAATGGCATTTTATATGTAGCAGGTATGGCTGTGTGCATTTTACTATTCTTACTCTGCAATAATAATGCTATGGAGTGTTTTCTGCAGCCGAAGCTATATGGGTTGTGTAATCTTTATTCAAAATGCTAGGGAATAGAAGCATTTTGGTTTTAGGATATTTTTGGATTTGAGAACATTTCATATATATAATCAGATATTTTGGGGCCACTACCTAAGTTTAGATGCAATATTCTATTATATTTATTATAAAATTATAAACATAGCCTAAAGGATATTTTATATATTTTAGTGCATCTGCATTCTGACTATAATCCATTATGTGAGGTCAGATGTGGAAAATCCACTTATAGCATGTATATGGGCTTGAAAAATTTTGGATTTTAGAGCATTTTAGATTTTGAGACTTCAGATTAGGGATGCTCACCCTGTTTGTTTTTCCCCCCAAAGGTCAATCTGCTATTTGGAAATATCTTATTATTAAATATCATGTTCTTAGTGGCAGGGAGGGGAAGGAGACAAGGAGGACCCGGGAGGGAAACTTGAACTAAAGATTAAGCATTCACTTACAGGACCTGTAACCCGTTGCATTCAACCAAAAGGCAGAGACATGGTCTCTGGGTGTCTATGGTCTCTGAAGAAATGGGAGGAAGTAGAGCCAAGCATTTCCTCCCTGTCCTCCCACTCTCTAAGCCCTTCGTCCTCGCTTTGTCTTTGGTACCTCCTCCGTGGACTGTGCTCTGCTCACCTCTACTCAGAGGCCTGTCTGATCAGAATTTGCTACTCTTGTATCGCCATTAGGGTGTTTTTACTCTGGATGTTTTCATATTCCTCCCATGTGTGTGTGTGTGTGTGTGTGTGTGTGTGTGTGTGTGTGTGTAGGGTCATGGCTTCTCATTCTCTGTAGTTTCTTAGGGTGTTGTGGTCCGGGCACATAGTATATACTTCTGACTTCTTGAACAGATGTTGAATGACATAAAGAAGGTCAGAATATCCCACTAACATTGTTCCAGGACACTGTGCCCAGGTTATATGCCCTTTAACTTTCATACTTCTTTCTCCCAGGTAAAATGAGATGATCATGTCTTTCTAGGGGTTACTGTGGGGCTGACAAAGTAAGAAGATGGATTCAAAGTGCTTAGCAAATATGAGGTGTTCAGTTGATGGGAGGTATTCTTGCCTTGACAATAGGTGAGATTTCAGGTATGACTTTATGACTTCCAATAAGATGCACGCTTGTTTTTTTTTATTTTAAATTTTATGTATTGCCTGCATGTGCATAGTATACCTGTGTTGTGCAATGTACATGGAGGTCAAAAGAAGGTGTCAGATCCCCTGGAACTGGAGTTAGGATGGTTGTTAGCTACAGTGTGGGTACTGGGAACTGAACCCGGATCCCCTGCAAGAGCAGCCATTGCTCTTAAACCACTGAGTCATCCAGCCCACATGGTTGCTTTTAAAAAATGGATAGCTTAACTTGTTTTCAATCATTAAAAGTAGGGAAAGATTTAGACTGATGAGATAAAAACAAAACCAATGGAAACGCTGCAGAATCAATGACCAAATCTGTACCCAAATGTTGTAAAGGAAAGATTTTTAGCCACCGGGGCGGGGGGGGTTCCAAAAATTAAAAGACACTCATAAGGCATATTGGCTAACACAGAGTGCAGGCTTCCCCTGGAGGTGGCCCAAACAACCACGGGGGGTGACTGGGGAGATGGGAGTTTTGGTTGAGCATTTGATACTAGTATGACATCATTCTGCTTCAATGTGACAGTAGTGTTGTGGTTGCATTTAAGAACAAGTGTGATTTTAGAGGCATATACTGAAATATTTACAGATGAAGTCATGGGATCTTAGAATTTGCTTTGAAACAACTCGAAGCACAGGGAATGGGTGGGAGAGTACGTAAACAGACAAGGACCATGAGTTGCTAATGGCAGAAGACGCAGGCTGTTTATACTAAACCCCCTTTCATCTGTCTCCAAAAATTTCTCTATAAAAAATCTTGTAATTTTTCCCCCTTTGTCTATGAAGTAGCTAGTCTAAGAGTCACTGACATGAAGAATCTGCCACATTCCTTGGAAATTATTAACAAACACAGTGCCTAAAACCCCAAATCCTCCTAAATCGTGGAAATAATTTGACATTTCCCTTTTCACTTTAGACAGAAAGAAAAAAAAAACAACCCTGCTACATTTGCACCAAATTAATGCTTCCGGATTTGAAGTTATGAACACCTCAGCCTATGGGGGAGTTTAGGCTAGCTAATGAGCAAGCCGTTTCATTTGGTTTTGGCAGAGTTAACCTTTGGCATTGTCCCTTGTTAATGTTTAAATTTTGTTGACTAGTCTTATTAACTGGAGTTGTGACTTTTGCTGTAAAAGTTTTTTCTTTGCTGCCTACTTAAGTAGACAGGCAAATAAAAGATGTTCTGTAATAGGGCCCTTGCATCATTCTGGAAAGCATCCTTGGATAATTCCTCTTCAAGACCACGGGCTCCTTCTGCTTAGTTCTTACTATGCTCCTGAAGGTGTTTTTGAAACTTACTTTATAGTACCACAAAACCAAGTTTAACTCTTTTAATGAGCAAAAAGCTTAAGCATAAGAGATGAACGGAGAAATGGAAATAAGCCTTACTGAAATAGAGGTTTATTAGAACTGAACACAGGGAAATTTGGAAGGAAGGAAGGAGAGAAGGAAGGGAGGGAGGGAAAGGGGAAAGGACGAAAGGAGGAATTCCTATAGTCACAGAATTGCTAGCTCACAGCATATGGAATGATCAGGTATCAAGTGTCTTTCCCTAAAATGCTTATCAAACCCTGTCTGCCTTCTGGGTCCTTTCCTTGGTGGCAACCTCTTTCCATTCCAAATTGTCAAGGTCTCAAATTTTCCTCCCAACCTCTATACAACTGGCTCATTGTCCTAGGTGGATTCTAGGACATGCTTATACCATTGCTGGTGAAAAGACAGAGGACACCCCCTCCCTACCCCACGCCAGGTAGGAGCCATATCTACGATCCCAGTTCCATTTCTAGTGTGATAAGGATTGACTGAACAGGAACCCAGGTTCTCCTCTGGGAAAAAGATGTACCCTTAGGCTGGTGAGCACTTACATTCTAGCTTGTCCTGAGGTCTCCCAGTCTCTAGCAAGGACAAGTAACACACAATGTCCTTCAGGTACACTATGGGGGGATCTGAGATTGAAGACCGGGCATCAGGGGCTCCCCATGGGGCTGCAGCCACTAGGTCTTTAGCTGTTTCTTGCTTCTTCGCCACCTTTGATTCTGGAAAGACAAAAAGAAAGCATCTGAGGACACTTGGTGCTTAGTAAACATTAACTGTCCTTGTGGCCCCATCCTCTTCATGGCTCAGCTGAGAATTTTCTACTGGTGTCTTTAAAAGCTTAATTAATAGATATTTTGTAATGTGGCCACAGAAATCCAGTTTGTGGTTATTTTATGAATTCATTTTGATCCTTTTATGAGTTTATTTTCTTGCAGAAAATTCATCCATTTTCTGAATTTTGAAAAGATGACAGTGATTCCTGGTAATACCAATAGTGAGCAGATAAATATAATTTACCATACTTTTTCTGGCTACTCACCTATAGAAGTAATTTTGGCTGAGCTTTCACCACACGCATATCCTTTCACAATTTCCTTCTCAAAAACACTTAATGACAAATGACAAGATAAATATTCAAAAAAAAAAATCCAAGACT